TGGCGCCGGAACTGGTCGGGTCGGGGACATGGGGTTATGCTGCTGATATTGTAACGTGGGCATGAAGTACGGTGGTGGTGGTGGTGTCGTAGTCGGGGATCATAGCACTGCTGCTAGTGGCGGGGTCATGGATCGTGGCACTGGCTCGGGGGTCGGGGGCATGGGTCGTGGCACTGGCTCGGGGGTCGGGGGCATGGGTCGTGGCACTGGCTCGGGGGTCATGGGCTTGGGTCGGGAGGCCGGGACGGGAATCTGCTGCGGCCCAGCGCGGGACATCTTGCGCTGCGACCGAGCGGGGTCGGGAAGTCGCTGCGGCCCAGCGCTGGACATTGTGCGCTGCGGCCGAGCGTGGGGAGCATAGGTGGCCTGTAGTCGGACCGCAAGGTCCATTACCCGCTCCCAGTGCGAATCGCCGCCAGACGACCACGAAATGGTCTCCTCCTCTGGGGACCATGTGGGGGGCGGCGGATGGTGACCCAGATGCCTACTGAGGGCTCCAGATGGGGAGACGGAGTAGTACAAGTACCCAGCTGGAACCCCCGGAAGGACCGTTCCCCCACTACGGGCAGCCCGCTGGAGACTCCGTGGACCGCCCATTGCCAGACGGGTTCCCCTGAACTCGTCCAAGGGAGAAAACTCTGCTGAGTCCTTTCTTGGTCGCGTCATTCTGTCAAGGTGCGGGTGGGAGGCAGGACTCAAACGCAGAGTTCAAACAGGAACACAAAGGACTTTAATAGTCAATGGTCAAAAAACACAGGAACCGGGAGCAAAAGCACACAGACGAGAAACTATGGGCATCCAAGACAAAGACAGGACATGCGTGGCTAAAGACAATGACGCGACAAGTGACACAGGAGACACATGGCTTAAATACACAAGGGAGGTGCAGGTGATTGGACACAGGTGGAAACTATTAGACGATCACAGGGGATGACGGGACAAGGCAGGAAGTGAAGTTACCCGGGGACACGAGTGGCAGAAAACTACAAATACAACAGGAAGTGAAACCACACCGTGACAGGATATTTAATCTCACACAGACAGCCGCCGTATCCGCGGGAAATGTATTAAGGCCACGCAAGACTTAAAGGCACGCTGAGTGATCGGCACATTTGGATCCACATGGTTTTCGTGAGGGAGAGGAAATTTGCAAACAAAATAAGCTGCAGCAGCGCTTGATTCAAGCCATGCCCACTATGTGCTGTTAACAGAGCACCAACATCGAATGTTCTTTGCTTTATTCTCTAAGGAAATGAGTCCTGCTGCTGTAAACTAATGCACCTCTTTGGTCCGGACTAACATGGCTAAACAACTATGGGATGGATTGACAAGAAATTTGCGACAAAGACGTCTGGTCCCCGGAGGTTAAAGTATACTGACATGGGAACTTTTCATCCAGCGCCACCAAGAGGTTGACATTTAGTGTACCTAATAATAATTGATAATAATGAATAATAGTAATGTCAACCTTTGAATGGATTGGCACACAGGATGCATCAAAATGCTTTCAACCTTTATACGAGTTAGTCCTAATCAGCAAATGATCCTATGTATATACATACTAACACAATGAAGTAACACATTAACTAACACTAACAAGTTAACCACAGAGGGGCACCAAAAAGTCATGCTACAGTTTCCAAACAGAAAAAAATAAGAAAGAATGACATGTATTTTGGTAGAGCATATGATTTACTGTTTAAGATGTATTTTTTTTTTACAAAATAAATAAAAAAATTATGGCCAAAGCTATAATTTAGAAAATACTCACTTGGTAGTTGTCCTTTGCAGTCCTAAAAGAACCTGAATGAAGAGGCATAACAAATGCTCGAAAGAAGCAGGCATCTTACAAACAACCTCTAATGATATAATGACCATACCGTCAAAAGCAATGGTCATCTTGGCCATCAGCTCATTATTTAATAAATAATGAAAAAAATAAACCTTCATATTTCTCTTTTTTCTGCAGAGCACCTTACCCCCCTGCAGCGCTGCGTAACCGATGGCAACCTCTGTACAAACTCTTCCTTTGACCCGTGGCCACAACAAAAACTTCCGTGACCCGTTGCCTGTCTCGTCCCATTGCGGCATGGGAAGCGTAGGCAGCCTGGTGGAGAGGCCGGATGTGTCCCCGACCAAAGGCAGCCGCGCAGTGCCACAGGTGAGACCCAAACAGACCAACAGCCTCCTGAAGAAAGGCTTCACCCAAAGGGAGCTACTCAACTACCTCAACATCACCAGGTGGGTGCTGCTGTCAGGAAACACGTGCTGAAGGCAAAGTCGGCTGTTCCTTTAAAACGTGACAGGACTTGAACCCCCCCCCCGTTTGACCCGTCGTGCTTTCAAACAGAAAAGAGCCCAAAGCAAGCGACGGGAAGAAGGACGTTGTCCCGGGCCGGGAGGAGGACAGCTTATACGCCAAGGTCTACCACAAAGACGGCACCGAGGTAGATCTGACGAAGAACTCACTGCCAAGTGGGGGCAAGTACGAAAAGGTGAATATTGTTGTTTAAAACACTTTATAGGCTCTTATTTGGGGGATCTTCTTAACTCACTATCAGAGTACAATCATAACTTGAAGAATCAGGGCGATGTTGAAAACATTACGTTCAACCGTTACGCGTCCTGAAGCAGTAGACATGAGGGGGAAGCGAGTCTCGTTCATGATTTCACTAGCAGATGTACCTGAATGAATGAATGAATGATTTGCATTTATATAAATGGTATACAGCCAGTGACCGGCTGCTGGAGCTTAAATTGATTCAGTATCACATTTATACATCTCTGGCAGCGCAGCGAAACATCCCTCTGGCTTTCCATCAGCATAAATCCGCTCTAAATCTCCTTCACAGAACCAGCATGGACGGAGAATTTGACCCTTTCTGTGTTGCAGGATTCATCGCATCAATCAAATCTCCCCATTTTTGCCTGAATTGATCAAGTGTAAAAGTTGATGGTGGGACATTGTTCCGTAGCCCAGCCTCCTTTGCAGTGAATGAAGTGTCTCCCCACTACTACTATTGTACCGTCTTTTTATCCTCTAAAAGTCTCCTTGTTCTTTTCTCTGCAGGCTCGCTCACGGTCCGCCTTCAAGCCTGTCACCCCTAAAAATTTCTGCTCCATGCAAAACCTCTATCCGTCTTCCAAGTTGGAGGATGTGGACCACTGCCTTTCCAATGGGCTGCACAGAGCCTACGCCCACGTCCCCAAAGCCATCTCCACCTCTTCCTCCTCTTCCTCGCCCTCCCGTCATGGAGGGCCAACATCCGGTGGCAAAAAGGTATCTTCGCACACGATAGTGACTCAAAAGCCTCTGAGCAGTCGCCAGTAATTGATGTCCGTGCCCAGGAGGTGGTTAGTCCATTCGTCTGGTTGTTCGATCGCTAGAATATCTCACACACCTTCTCATAGGCTTCAATTGAACCTGTTGAAAAAGTGAACAAGGGAATCGGGTTGTGAATTCGCTTGGGATGAATAACTGTATAACGTCGGCCGTAGGTCCTCTCCTCGGTGCGTGGGATGAGCCAGGAGGACGATAACCTGTCAGACTCGGGCCATAACTCCATGAGCAGCCTTCCACCGTACCGGCCGCCCTTCCGCCCACATCTGTCTAACATCAGGTTTGCCACAGTGTTCTTGTCTTGGCTTTACGTTATATTCAAAGGACGCGTTGATTTGCATTATTGATTTTTTGGCACTTTATGAACGTGTGGGTGTTAATATTTTTCATTTCCTTGTGTACCCAAGCGCATCCATGGGCCAGATCAACACCATCGGCTCCCTGGACCGCGCCTCTCTGGCCCAGAAGGCTGTGGGGCCAGGGGGCGTGGCCATAGGAGAGATGGCGTGTCGGAGCATGGCGACCCTGAGCCGCCTGGCTCCATACGGAGGGGAGGCTCCGCCTCCTTATGAATGGACACTCTCCCTTTCTGTTGAGGAAGTGGTAAGCACAGCACTGCAGGGAGGGAGGCTGAGCGGGTCGGGAGGATTTATAGACTGGTAAGTCCTTCATGTGGTCTCTTTCCAGGTCCGGGATCTGGAGGAGCGCCTGGTGGAGAAAGAACATGAGCTGAAACAGATGAGGAGAAACCTGGATGAGAGTGAGGGCGCCATCGCTCAGGTGAATCCCATGTGACTGTCGGGTTTTTCGCCCTCAATTTATACATCCGTCTGCTTCGTCTTTGAGGTTTGACCCGATCTTCCCCACCGCGCATGCAGGTGTTTGAAGGAAAACAGCGTTTGTGGGAGAAGGAGGTAGAGGAGCTGAAACGCCTGTACGCCGCCAAGCTGCGTCAGGTTTCCCAGCATGCCCAGCGTTCCCAGCGCAGCCTGCAGATGCAGCTGTTAAAGGCCCAGCAGGAGAAGAACCGGCTGCAGGAGGAGCTCGACGGGCAGAATAGGCAAAGGAGCCAAGTGGACGGAGCCGTGGCGAAGCGGACCAGTCCCACTCTGGAGGAGACGCAGTGGCAGGTAGCCTATATGGTTCTGGGAGGTCGGGGCACTTTATGGCAGGGAGCAGCACTTAAACGGCAGTAATTGCAAGCTACTTGGGAGAGAACTGAATTCCTTTTGTTGTTTGTCTCATTAAACTCATCAAAATGCACGCTTCTCTTGTCCGCGCCACTCGCTTGTCTCAGGTTTGCCAGAAATCGGGGGAGATCTCGTTGCTGAAGCAGCAGCTGAGGGACTCCCAGGCGGAGGTGACCCAGAAGCTGAGTGAGATCTTCCAGCTGAAGACTCAGCTCAGGGAGACTCGCACGGATCTGCGCAACAGGGAGGGCCAGATCGACGCTCTGAAGCTGGTCGTGCAGGGGACGCAGCGGCGCAGATTCCCCTCTCAGCCGGCGCACGAGGACGGAAAAGGAGCTGAGGAGGGTCCTCCAGCCGGGGCAACAGGTAGATAAATGTGACCGCCTCTTACTTGTGTGTGTTTACATCGTCACTGGGATGTTGCATGCGCTTCAAAGGCTACAGGCAATACACGTTGCTTTAGTCACGTTGAGGCGCCACAGCCACTGCTGACACAGCACTTTAACATTCAAGCACATTAGTAAAAAGCATCCAAACTTAGTTTCTTATGCACAGAGCTGCATGTTGCCTGCGTTATTTTGAGTCAAGACGTCTGTGCGCCAGGTCACGAGTTCCCCGCGGCCGGTGCACTTCATTATGTTTCCCCTGCGGCTCGCTCTTACAGGAGGGTGCGGGGGCCCTACGGAGGAGCGTCTGCGCGCAGAGCTCCTGCTGGAGCGCCGCCAGAGCGAGGCCCAGGCCACGGCTTTCGAGGAGGAGAGGCGGACGTGGCAGACAGAGAAGGACAAGGTCATCCGCTACCAGACGGAGCTGCAGGCCAGCTACTTGGAGATGCACCATCGCAACGAGGCGCTGGAGAGGGAGCTGCAACGGCTGAGTGCAGGCAGAGAGCAAGGACGAGGAGGAGGAGGAGGAGGAGGGAGCATAAATGAGACGTTGGAAACAGAAGCACCAGAGCTGAGGAGTGAGAGAGCGGGTGAAAAACCAGACGACAGACCTTCCCCCGGTTTGCCGTGGATAGACAGAATTGAATCATCGGAAATTTGAATGCGACAGACTTCCTGGTATTTGCAATGCAAAGGGTTTTCTTACTGAACTATTCTTTCCACTGAAGCCCATTTTATCAAGAGAAGGGGAAGAAAAAACTCTCTACGTTAAATGATGAGATAGTCAAAATTATACGATGTGATACGTACTTACATTTGGAGTCAAGTTCATTTTGAAAGATATAAAGTAATATGCTTTCTAAGATTTTGATCGAGTGCGTAAACATTGATCAGATACTAAGTTCTACGCCTGACTTTGATTAGTGGTTTTATTTTCATCCTGCATCGATATTCGTCTACTTTTCTCCTTCTCCTGGAGAAAATGAGCTTCCATAGATTCCAAACCGTTTGCAATTGCGTTGATTGTGAAATTCCCCGATCCTGAAAAGACTGGACCAGTACCGGCCTACAGAACCCACTGATGCTGAGCTGCACGGAGACACGGTGCGTGCCTCATCTGTCCTTGGCGAGCATCAAAAAAACGACCAAAGTGTCGTGCTTCAGACTGCTGACCATTAATGAACAATGTAAATGAGCAAATTAATATCTGGATTTTGTGTGATCATTTCGGTAGTTACATTCTGGATTGGACTGCTGTATAATTGTCCGTGGCCCGGTGACTTGACGCAGCGTGTTCGGTCTGTGCATCTCCGGGTTAAGAATCAAGCATTAAAGACACTAATGCTGTGTCTTTGCCTGCGTACCGCACTAATAAAACTGGACATGTTCTTAGTTCTTCGGTTTCCAGCTCCTGTCAGGTAAGATCTATATATTTTGTACAAGTCATTTTGATTTGATTTGCCTTTAGTGATGGTACTTCAAGGACCCTGTTGTCTTAATGGACGTATTTCCTCTTATTTCGATTGCATTGAAAGGGATTGTTGAACACAGCGGCCCTACTTATTGGTGCGCCTATCCAGCCAATAACAACCTAACGCATGGCATAGGTAAAGTTGTTCCCTTGCATTGTTTTTTTAGTATATGATCATTCAAACGCCAGCTCTAAGCCGACCCTTCAACATACTGTGACTCTTGTCTATTTACTGGAATTAAAACTGTAAAGTAGAAATATATGTGTCTGTTTTGGATTCATAATAAACGTTTATGAAGTGGTGTAAAAGCTGTTCAGGTGGTGCTTGCCTCGATTGCGCTTTCTTCTGCAAATCAAAATGCTTCTCCGTCTGATGTTGTTAATGTTAGGGGTGCAAGCAATGGCCTTCACCCCGAGAGCTTAGATGCCCGGCCACCCTGAAGGGGCTTAAAAATGTCCACAGAGCGTGCTAATAAAAGCACAGGAGCTTCATGGCAGGACGAACAACTAACTCGTTTAGAGTTTGAGCCTTGGGTCCTTATCTACCACCTCTCCCTCAGGCCCTCCCTGCTGTCGCACAGCCAGGCCTCGCATACCATCTCCTGCAGCACCCGCGGCCGGGAGGTGGAAGGTCAGCAGAGATGGAAACATAGTTTCCCGGTTTGCCCAAGAAAATACGCACGTCTATGGAAACCGTCAAATGTGAAAACTAGAACAAAGTTCCACGGATAACTTGACAAAAACCCACACTTAACTTTGTGTTATCCATGCGTTGTTTATGGGTATGCATGATTGAATGTGTATCCATTAAATAAGTGTGAAGAGTGTGATAGCGCCATGTGTACACGCATGTGGTGTTTTTTTGTTTGTTTTTTTCATACAGGGTCAAAATCTGATGAGCTATGAGCGGTGTCTGACTCACAGGGCCCTTACCCTGGCATTTAAAACATTATATAAACTGGGGCTTAAAATAACCGCGTAGCTCAGCAGTGGTTTACTGAAGTGGGATGAAAAAGCATTCTTACCTCACACGCTATCAACCTGTAGGAGGGTTGCAAAGCTGAATGCCATCAGTGCAGCTTCTCTGATAAATTCACACAATTATTAAACATCCATTCAAGTAGGAAAATAAATGGTTCCTTGTTGTGTGACGCATTCAAATGAAAACTCTTTGGTTTGAGATTTAATACACTTGAAGACCATTTATTCCCAAGTATGGATAATGCAGCAATAACGCCACCAGGTGGTGATGAACTCAAAGGCGAAACATCTTTAAATCTAGGAAGGGGAAAAAGTCATAGTGGGGTCAGAACATCAGCAAATGCCATTACTCCAAATGACTTGGAGTATACATTTTTATTTTGATTTCAGATGCAAGTATATGAAACATGTTAGAGGGTAAATATTTACAAAAAATGCAAACATTGAACAAAATAAACAGGGCAGAAGTACAGAGCGCTAGCTGTAGGGAAAAATTCAGTGAAGCAGTGAATGATTGTCAACCAAAGAAAGAAAACAAGAAAAAAGGTCCACGCAAATGTAACATGTGCTTTAACCAATTTCCAAAAGAAACCAACGTTTGGAAAAATAATCCTGAACGCAGACTTAAAACTGAGTGTAATGTTGCATCAGAGAGCTGTGCTGCTGCGCGCTGAACAAATGAGCCTCACGGGAGTGTGAGGTGACATCACCATTTCCCAGAGCACCCGGGGAGCTTGCACTTTAATTATTGATCATCTAAAACATACTCTACGGTACGTCCAAATGCATGTGAACTTGTGACGCGTTTCTTTCCAAGGGCACGCCTACACAACACCCTCTGAATAATATATACATACTGCAAACCATTAACCTCAGCAGTGAAGCATGTGTCATCTTTGTTCAAGCCTCCTTATATAAATGTACAACTTTAATACGAAATGAAAAATGTGGTGTGAACTGTTACGATGAGCCCTGAGGAAATGTATAGATTTTAATGTTTCTATTTTGACTCCATCTCAAATAAAAGCTATGCAGCAGCAGCAGCATTATCAAAGTATTTATTAAACAGCCACAAACGATCGGAGGAGTTCTCCCACCCACGACGAGTAAAAGCTGAATCATAAGCCCACAGTCACTGCAAGCCAGAGCACACGGCTACCGTCACACCACTTCACATCTCCAAATCACACGGCTCGCCAGCTTAGGACACACAGTGCGGAGCAGAGTGAGGGGACGACACACCCGGGACGTGAACTGTTGAGTCCTTTGTCTTGAGAGCTGCCAAATTTGCTTTTTTACGTGAGTGTTTTTTGTGTTGCAATGAAAAGTAAAAACAAAAAGCACATTTCACAGTAGTATATATTTTTTGTTTTCCTTTTTGTCACGGTTTGTTAAATACATACATAGAACAAGACATATAGCTTCTACAATGGAGGAAAATCTCGCTGGTGCCGTCAGTCACGAAAAAAAAAAAAGAATAAGCTGTTCCACCATTAATGAGTGAATGGTTTTGCTGCTCAAATGGTTTCATCGGCCAACACTGACTTTCGAGCTACGTGAGGCCTTTATTACATTATGGAGTAATGGGTCACAATCAAGAGTTCGGTACAAGAGCAACCCCCGCAGATCCCTTCACCAGCAACTGTTTTTGTGGTTTTTCCTTAATGTTTCAAAGACTTTAATTACCATTCTGAAAACTGAAAATCTAAATCATTTCCCCACACTCACCCGACCATAATCATTCAGCTGCTTCGGTCACAAAAAAGAAAATGAAATAAAAAGCAGTCATCCAACTCAAACAATTTTATAAAGTCGGAAGAAAATACCACTATAAAGTATTACATACTTAAGAAAGATAAGCCTATGACTATGCAGGTGTCTGCAAATGAGTTTCAACGAATGGACCTTTTTTCAGAGGTGCTTCTTTGCGAGGATGCTCTCATTACTGACATCGAGACTCCTCTCTCTCGGCTAGGGTCATACTTGGACCGTCCCCGCTGGACTCTGTATACTACGCAAAGTCGGAGGGTCCAAGGTGAGTGCCGGGAAGGCCGAGGGTGTCCAGAGGAGCACTGGGACTCAACCGTAATGCTTAGAATAAAAAGGGCAAGAGGCCAGGGACAGAGGGAAAGGGCCAGAGCGAATGGTCCTGGAAATGCAAACAGCTCCAGGGAACTTTATCCTTACTTGTGAAGAAATGTGCGGTATCAAAAGTAGATCTGCTTGGCATGTGACGGATTCTGCTCCATGGGGCAGTACGGACATTTCAACCTGAGGACGAGAGACCGGAGTGTAAGAAGAGCGGGAATTTGAATGACAAATCAAAAGACCATATTGGTTGCTTCTGCTGAATAACCTTTAATCTTGATTTCTTTATTTACAGGTTTCCATTAATTGAATCGTAAAACTGGAGGCTTATTACAAGCTTGCTTTTATGAGAAATGCTGAATATTCTGTTTTTAGATGCAAACAAAACAAAAACAGTTCAATATTATTTTCCAGGATCATACAACACACTTTTTGTTTTTAACCAAAGCTAATCACACAACCTAATCCTACCCTGAACCTATCAAGAAGTTATACAAAGCATTGGGATGTATTGCTGACTTACTTCCCAGCATTAGTCAGTTTGTTGAGGGCATCTCTGGAGATGACGTGCCCACAGATGAGCTTCATGGGAGGATTGCTCTCTGAGGTTTGCTGTCTGAGGATCGGGCAGGCAAACACAGAGTGGTACCAGCACTTCTTCCCGAGGTCGATTTCAATCTACAGGAACAGACATGGTGTGAATCAACTAAGCGGGCAAAGGGGAGCGGGACATGCCGCTGGGAAGCCAGGAGCGACTTACAGGCAACTCATCTTTGTGCGTCCAGACTCCACTGCACTGTCTCTGCTCGATCACCTGCTTGATGTTCATCAGCACTGGCAAGGCCATACAGCCTGATGCAAAACTTGCAGAAAAAAAATAACAAAAAGGCAGCATTAATTCAGTCCAGCTGTTTTTTTTTATATTTTAAGCACACACACACTACATGATGAGCATGTAGTTTGTGGCAGGTTGTCTACATGATGGTACAGTTCATACTTCACTATGAACTGAACAAATGTACTAGTAAATTGTTTGTACTTTGGTATAAATGTAAAAACTGTAAAAGGTAATCAGAGAGGAATGTTCACCTAACACTGAGTGGAGACTCTACAGAGAGACCCAGCAAAGCGCAGGCATCCCTGGTGAAGATGTTACAGATCTCGGCCCACTGGTTCGTCTCCAGCAGAGTGCGGTACGGAGAGTTATCAATGCCGTGACGCAGGTACACCAGACTGCCCATCAGGATCTGAATATCTGCAGGGAAAAAATGTGCCGGAGAGGAAAACAAGTAAATCAAAAACCTTACGTGACGATTTGTGAGGTAGGCCTCAAAAGGACAGTGTATTTTCCTTATGAACATCTTTGTTCCTTATTGGTTGCAAATAGAGCAAAGACTCTTTAATTATTTCAAGGTCAAAGGAAAACATGAAACACAAGTCATGGTAAGCATCTTTGCGTAAGAGACTTAGGAGGGTCAGACTGAGGTCCATGTGTGCTTTCTACCTCTCTGGTGCTGAGAGGCGAAGGGTTGGAAGTGCCTGGCATACTGCAAGGCCTCCATTTGGTTGTTGATTCCCCCACTGAGCAGGCTGATGAAGTACAAGCGGTGCAACTTGAACTCTAAACTGCTGTTCAGGTCCAAAAGGCGCTGGCGATTCGACACAGCCCACCTACGGAGACAAGAATAAGTACAGTTAACTTCGTCAACATTGATAATTTAATCATCACGGTGTCCTCCAGCATATTTGGACTTTAAAAAAGTGGGCAAGCAGTTCACAAAGGTTTGAGTCAACAAGATGGGAAAAGTAGCTCAATTATTTTTGCAAATACCAGTGTTCCCCTACTGTTATATTGAGGGAGGGGGACCTATTAGAGGGTGAGGTTAATTTTGTTTGATTTTGTATATCGTGCCAGACGACAACAGGTTTTATTTAAAGGTTACCTTTCCTATAAAAAGGGGTGCAATAACTTGTTCGTGTATTAAAAACACAGCCTGATGTTCGTTTTCTTATTTACACAACGACATGTAATCTCGGTTTCTACACGGTCGCACGTTAACAATACTCTCCCGCTTTCTGCATCACCCCGATACGGGTAACACTGAATACCAAACAACTGTCTTGTTTATGACATTTTCCCGTGCTAAATTGTACTGAAGGTGTCTGTACCTCTTGTAGTGCATTTTATCTTCTCCAATGTGTTTTTCAGTTATTTGAAGATAATGAATATTTAGAGAGAAAGTATAACATACTCTAGTGCCGGCCTGAGGTCTTGCATCCTTAGAGCTTCAAGGATTCTGTTCAGCTCCAGGAAAGGCTGCTTCATACTCATATCTATAACTACACCAGACTCCTGGAAAAGAAATAAATAATAAATTGTCAATTCATTATCCTGACTTACAAAAGATAATGCCTTTTAAAAGGCCCGTAACGCTACATCAATTTGCTATGATTAATTTCAGACAGAAAGTATTTTAAAGCCACATGGGCTGCATTTACAACAAAAAACATTTTGAGGGCTTTATGGTTGCTTACCTGACAAAGATCCTCTGCTACACTGAGCATCCCTTGTCTGTAAAGGTGCTCCACAATTGTCTCACTCAAATATTTCTGTCTCTCTGGGGTCTCCCACACCGTCTCTGCCACCACAGCACTGATTTCTGCGTCAAAATTCTGCAGAGATGCATGTCAAAAGTCAAGTTCCTTAAAGCCCATTGTTAAATGTTAAAAGAAAGCTGGTCTCAATGTCCTCACCCGGTCAATGGCTTTGCCCACTTTCGACACACTGCCATGGATGTCCTTATGTCGGGAGGCTAGCATCTGCACTGTTTCTTTGATATTCTTACAACACTGTGCCATGGTCTGAGACAGGACTGACAAGTCCGCATCTTGTACTCCTGCAAGTGAGAAAAGAAGGAAAAGTCTTCATTCTGCATTCCTACAATATTATGCGACCAATTAATTAGGATACAGCACGAACAAAGCATAAAAAAACAAAAGCATCATCTTTATGTAAATACTAAACTTAAAGCCGCTCTGAGAATATTTTCAGTGTTCAGGCAGTGTGTGCATCAGTTTTCTTACCAAAAGCAACTAGCTGTCCACGTATCTCGCAGACACTGCGCAGGAGCTCGTCTAGCCTCTCCTCAGACTGGTGGCCGTACATTACAAAGCGATGAAGCACTTTCTCCAGCTCCCGCTCAACACAGGCACACTGTTCCATGGTTCAGACTGGAACACACACACACACACACACAACACCTAGAGAAAGAAAATACAATAAATACAGCTTAAAGACGTTTGAGAAAAAGTAACAATAAAGATAATTTAATGTTTTTTTAATTAAAATTAGATCATGTCTCCGTAATACAGAACACGTTCTCATTACAATAGCTTAGAATAATTTTTTTCATGATTTATGACCTAGAGATGTACTCTGCGTGACCTTAAATGTCAAACAATGGACTGTGCAAAGTCAAGGAAACAACTAACTAACCGCAAATATATCTTCAGCAAACATGCATAATTGATGTTTGCCCAGCCGATGCATTGATCAGGCTGAAATCAGGAATGTTTTTGTTTCACGTTAGTTTGCTGCTCTCTGTAGTTTGTAACAGCTGAAACAACACAAAAAAATCCAACAAATGTAGATTGTGGACCAGTCAAGAAAATACGTATGATCCCATTCTATTATTTCACTGTCACAATAATGGTGTTTGACAACACTGAACATGCTGACAATCCCATTACAGCGATAGTTGCAAAGCTCTCTCTTGAACGAGACATCCCCCAGCGCTGCACTACAATGTTTTATAACATACGACATTTGACGGCTGGCTGGCATTCATTATTTATTTATTTATTTTTAAGCAGAAGAAACCTGCAAAGCTGACTGCGAGCCTGCCCTGTGCTACCCTGATTAGAAGTTTGCTGGCGAACCAGCAAGGCCTTTAAACCGTTAAAACGCACCGCGGCCTGCTGTTTACCGACGTAAGTCACCACTAGTCCTCAACGATGCGGAGTATAAGGTAGCGAAAGAAAAAGCAGTCAGTCATCTGGTCTATTACCTTGTTAAACTACGCATAGTCATTTGTAGGTTTTGCTATTTCTCACCGTTTGCACGCCCAATGCAGAAAATATCCACCTAGCAGTAACCGTGACAGAGCTAACTTAACCCACATAAAAGGCAAGCTAAATATTTCTATATTCCATATTTAAACACCACCATTGGTATTTGTATTACCCATCAACAACGAGAAATACAAAGTGATACGAACCACTAAGCTCTGTATTTTGATTCGATTCGATAAGTTAGAAAATGAAGGTGTCGCACAGCTAACATAAACAAACGGTGTCACAGTGTCTAGCTAGCTACAAAAGCTCGTCGCTGCTAGCAGCTACTCGGCTAGCAGCTAGTCGATGTGACAAGGCCCGAATTATTTCAGGAGAGAATGACAACCCGCTTGTCTTCACTGTTTTGCATTATACCAACGCGTGAAACATCTACCACCTTTAACTGAATGATGAGATATGTTAAAATAAACACCACTCACCTACCCTGCTAATTAGTTAGCAAACATTAGCGTTAGCCGCTTGCCTGTTATGGCAACACTTCACCAGCAGTCGTAATGCGGATCTTCCTGTGTCGCACTCAGCTTAGACTGGATGTTTCACAATAAAATACATGTTTTTGTGCGACGTCGAAACACTACACTCGCTGTCCATGTATAGTATGATTTTCACTCTTTCCCTTGCACACGGCCGTTAAAGCTGTCAGAACATGTCCCTTAATGGTTGGTACAATAAGGATACGAAATTAATCAGCATTCATGAAATATCAAAGAATATTCATATTGAGTGCTAAACCTCAATATTGCAATATTGCAACTTAAGTAAAAGTACCGATACAAAAGTGTAAAAGTACTTCATCACAAGTAAAACATCTGTATTGAAAATGTGTTATATCCTCCAAATTATTCAGTGCAACATATGTATATATATATATATATAGAGCTAAATTAAGAGTAAACTTCTGTAACATTAATTGCTTATGTTGAGCCTGGCCTAAAAGAGGAAGTAGGTCAGGTAAAATATTTGAAATGTGATCGTATGTTTATATTCTTACGGTTTGTCACAAAATACTAGTTGCCTATTTAAATAGCTCATCATGAGACCAAACCCTTGTCTAGCATCATGTTCCACAAATAGTACACAACCAGAAAAAGTATGAAGCACGTTTGTTTTTCTTTTTACAAATGAACGTGCTGGTATACATTTGTCTCCTTATAGAGGCCCCATAGCATATTGTTTGTGCATTGCTTTATGGTGTCTTGCATTGCTGAGGGTGGGTGAGGTCTTTGGACTCTATTAGGCTAGTGTGACTAATCTATCAGTGATCTACATTGAAGCTTCCCATTGCTGAGGTGCTCATCATTCTTTCCCTCTGAGTCCTACACTGGTCTACTGTGCTACCATTGACCACATATGTTCAAACAGCACTTATGTACACTTTAGTTTACACAATCTTACCTCAAGCAAACACATGCATGTGATCCCCTTCAACATTTTGGAATTTTACAGTTCTGGGCGATAATATTTTACACTGTGTTTTTTGAGATGGGTGTTTATTTATAACACATTGTAAGATAGTGGATGTATTTTAATTGTCCATCCTCTTGGTACAGCCCAGAGTTCAAAAGGATGTGGATTTATGTTTGCCGTGTCATTAGAACCTATAGTGTAATAGTAAATAATGTATAGGATGACTATTAAAATGGTTTATAAACAGCATTGTTGATGTAAAAAAAAAGAGAAGAAGATATACAACTCCACCAAGGTCATGAAATAAGTTCCCATTTTGGCAAGGAACACTAATAACATAACACTTCCGATAGAAAAATGGGAAAATTATATATGTATGATGCCGTACATTTATTAGATACTTGACTTTTATGTTACAGCCCTAGTTACATTTAGTCAGGCTGCAATTAAAGATTTTCCACTGGCTTGCCCTGAGTGACTCAATGCCTGAAAATGAAAGGTAATCTCATGAGGTATTATGTTTGGTACACAGGGTTTAGCTATTCTCCCTACTATCAAACATGCCCAGACAGCCACAATGTGACTTAGAGGGTCCTGCTATTGTAGCAACAATAATAAGTACAGTAAAATAGCATGATCGCTTTTGATCAGACATGACCAGAAAGATTAAAAGTACATTTGAAGTTGAAAAAGTCCAATGGCGCTGGTAATCCTGGGAAACATAAAATATCCAGACATCAAATATAAAACCATGATTTAAAACAGTGAAAGCACCTTGCAGAGTCTTGTCAGCTACCATGCACAGGAGTTCTGCATGTGTGATGTCAAAGTTGGGTGGTCGATGTTAACCTTTAACCTGTTGTGCCCCAGTGAGTACTCACATACACACAGATACAAACACAGCCATACATACATGCACCACAGCCTCAATGTTAAGTATAATCTCATATATAAGGTCAAGTGGACAATGTGTGGCCTGTACTTCAACCTCTGTATTTCTCCTCTCGTTCCCCACCAAGGCTCCCAGACTATTGGCTAAAGCTACGGCTATCTGGCCCTGATAGTATGGGTCTATATATAGAGGAGCCTGGGACTGATCTCGCTGTAAGTGTCAGATTCCAGGCACACTCATCTATCCTGGCGGGATCAGCACCTGCTGCTAACTATAACCCCCCCCCCCTCCCCGTCAGGGGCCGCCCCTCTTAGTCCAACTCACACAGGCAAGCCAATGTCCAACCAAACCCCGGCCCAGAGAAAAAGAAAAATCGCAGGTTAGACTGTCGGCAATTTCCCTTAGGCCAGCTCAAAGGGGAGGGGCAGAAATAGCGATGGGAGCATTGGAGGATGTAATGGGTCTGCCTGAGATGCCCCCCTTTGCTTTTTCTATTCAAGTCTGATACATGGCAGTGCATTTACATTCTGGAGTTGTCTAGCCAGTGTGGCTTTGCCAGACTGGGCTGTCCAAAGCTTCCCAGTCCTGGATCGGGTCTTGAATGTGGTGCAGATTTTGAGACAGTTTGGCGAATGAGGAGCAGGATTTGCAACACAGAGGATCTCAATGCCCCAGGGAGAGCCTCATCATTGGCCAAAGGTAAAGTACCAATCTGTCTTTCTCTGCCGGCATGGGGAGCAGGTACTCTCTCTCCTGTCATCCTACACGAAGGCAAAGTAGAAAGTTAAAATGAAGAGCATTTATTTGGCTGAGCTAATCCAACCATTGTCAGTTTCAATATAAAACAAATACATCTGTGTCGTTGTACTGCAAAATACCTTGTATTTCAAGATGAAAATCTTGTCAGGTTTCAACCACATGCGGACTGTTTCAAATGGATGTTTTAGTCTGCTTAAGTTGAATGTTTTAATTATAAGTTGTTTGCTATGGCTTTTAAAGAGATACCAACAGTTACATTCTGTTCTGAATCCCTTTTAAGGTTCACAATATCCCCGTATATGGCTGTTGCTCTGGACATTTAGGGTTAAAGCTAAATGTGCTTTTTGCCAGCTAACAAAGCAGGCGCATTGGAGAGTTTTTTACATCATAGTAGTAGTAATCAGTGTTCCTTGTGGTTTAAATGAATGAGCTGCACACCCTCCACGTGACACTATCTTACTTCCAGTCCAGGAACTGAGCCCAAAGCAGACCAGAGCAGCAGACTGGACGGGCCACAGTCAGAATTTGGAGCTTGTGGACGAGCGATGGACAGCTGGACTCTACAGGGGGACAGCTACTCCTTCCTGCGAAGTGCACCCCGTAACACATTTTCCCTGTGCCATCGGGACGGCACCCCCAACCAGGTTGAAATCTTCGACATCATAAACGTACCAAGTCAGCGCAGTGTCATCTCCGAGACCACCAGCCTTTGTGACATTTTTGGAGACGACTGTGAGTCACCGTCTGTCTCCAGTAGCCCTGCTGCCGGGACTTTTGTTCCTCCGCGTAGGGAGGTGGACGGGTCAGCTGCTGCCTCATCTCTGGCGGATGATCTGAACGACTCGTCGGGCTCTTACCACACTGCTCCGGGGTCCAGTGAAGGCGAGGAGGGATTTGAAGATTCTAGAGAAAGGGTTTGCAGTCCCCTGTTGCAGTGCGATTCTTCAGAAAGGAGGCAGCTGGCGGGTGAGGGACTGACCTCAGGGCTTACAGAAGTTTCCGACGATAGAAGCCCAAATTTAGAACCAGAAAGTAAATCACCCGCACCTCAATTTAGTACAGCAAGCCCATCGTCATCAGTCCTCAACACTGGTGAGAGCACACCCTCTCCTGGACATAATAGCCCCTTTACCCTCAGTATAGAGGGAAGCTTGTCATCCTTGTCTTCTTCCCCAGTTGAAAAAACACCATCATCACCTAGTCCTAGAAAAGCCTACCCAGAAACGGATGCAAGAAGAACCACTCCCACTTTCATTGATAGATCTCCGTCTCTAACTCCAAGCCCCTCACCTGAGCCTGGGAACTGTGTCACCTCATCTTCCTGTGAATCAGTGAACACCCAGTTGTTACCTGAGTTGGGTGTCGCACAGGCTTACCCTGAGCCCGGGAGCAGCTGCTTTAATCAACACAGCAGTCCCTCACCCGAGCCCACATCCAAAGAGCTTTCTCTGGATTCTACAGAATCCACGTTTGATTCTGCAGCCACACTTCTATCTCCTTCACCCTCAGCCAGTATTACAGAGTTATCATCCCAGTCGAGAGAGACACTGGCCTCACCTCAGTTGAAAGACAAGCCTTCCTCCTGGGATTCGCAAGCGTCCTCTCCTTTTTCTGAGCTAAGAGGGAGGGTGTTCCTGCTTGATCTCCTCAGCAGAGGCTCAACACCTGATAACGGAGATTTTACCCACATCCCTGAGCAGATTTTAGATTCTTCCACTGCAAGAGGACACGATACAACCACTCCTGAGAGCCAAGATACAAGACTCAGTGCTGTATGTACACAACCTTCACCTGTTTCATCACCAGCAGCATCTCCTCAGCTTGTGCATAGCATCTCACCTGAATTGATACACACAGTTCCCTCACCTGGCCAACCCTGTGACGCTTCTTCTGATAAAACTTGGACAAGGACTCCGCCTCCCGACGCCTCGCATAAAATTAGACACATTTTAACACCTCCTGACAGCAGGACCCAGGTGTTGTCACCTGTGTTCAGTTATAGCTTATCTCCATCGCCTGACATTACGAGCAGTTACTCTCCCACAGAGCAAGAACATACAGCTCCCTCACCTGAAATTAGGATTACAGCTTCTTCCCCTGAGGTCAGTGAAAGAGAGTTGTCTTCTGAAGTGGAAACAACTCCTGCATCTCCTTTCCTAGATCTTCACTCTGACTGTTCCTCATCAAGAAGCCTCACTTCGTCCCCTCACATCACAGGGATTTCTTACTCTGTTGTTCAACCCGAGGACAGGGACACTCCCTCATTTCCCGAGCTTTCTTGTCTCTCCACCCGTCAACCTGATAGGACACTTGTTTCCCCTGAAGCAAGGAGCCCTACCCCCCACGGAGACAGTAAACATAGCAGTATAGCAGAGTCCACCTGTTCACCAAGAGATTCACCTTGTATATCAGGAGTCACAAGCTCTGACCTGCAGCCAGAAGTAACTGTGTTGCATCAAGCCAGCTATCAAACACCTTCACCTCGGCCAGAGCGTCACACTCCCTCGACTGAGCCAAGATATCAAACCCCTTCATCTGACAAGAATCAAAGTCCCTCGCCTCAGCAAAGGAGTAGAGGTCCATCACCTGCCTCATGCCCTGAACAGAGGTATCATTGGAATTCACAACCGACCGTCTCCACTGAGTACAACCGTCATTGTACCCGGCCTACTCCTCCTCTAAGAAATACACCCGAGGTTGAGGAGGACTCCGCTTCAGTTGATATTACAGAAAAACAATACCCAACACATTTGGCCAAAGAGAGTGTGTCACCCTCATTTAAACAACAAAACAAAGAGAGGGAAGCAGGACAAAAGGAGGCAACCCTTCAGGATAATTCAAGTCTCCCAGAGGAAAAACAACCTATTACCCCGAATTTTGGACAGAACGAAGACACTTTTAAAAATCTACCCATTGAAATAAATACTCCTTCTCCTAATAGTCTAATCTTCGAAGACAGGAGTCCAGGTATCTCACCTGTCCACAGGTCTACAGCAACCTCGCCTGTGCAGAAAAAAGAAACCTCAATTCAGCCTAAATTCTCTACGTATCCGCAAACTTATGAGAGCAGCGGCTTATTAAAATCAGCCTGTACACCTGAGCCTGCCAGAAGACAGCTGTCAGCCAAAATTAGAGGTGAAACCAGGAACAGGACAACAGAGGACATGGCCCAGCATGTAAACAGAAGGCGGACTCCCTCTCCGCCACTCACCAGGTTTACACCTGTCCACATCATAGCCCCTGAGAAACCATACAGACAGTGGCAGAACAGAAGCCGTAGCCCCTCCCAGGTTGTAGCATCCTCACCCAATTGTAATTTGAGGAAAGTGCAGACAAATAGGGAATGCCCCGATGTTGCCTATGTTGACAATAATAGCCAGGCCCATTGGGTCAGGCAAGAAAGGCAATTGGAGATGAAAAGGGAAATGCAGCTAGAGGACGAAAGGGAGGTAGGTAGGCAGAGGAAAATTGATAGGGAGCCAGAGAGCCAGAGAAAGAAGAGGGAGGAGCAGGTTCCTGAAAAGGGGAAGGGTGGGCAGTGGGACGCCAGTTACAGAGGGGAACAGGCTGAACTGTCATTCAACGCCAAGAATAGAAAAGGGCCTGCAAGTCGCAGCACAGCTCCCACAAGCAAGGAGACCCGTCAGGGACGGCCAACAGCGCATTCCTACTCGGAAAGCTTGCTTACCACCAGGCAGATACAGCAACAACAGAGTCTGCTTCGACTTGCTTCCCAACAAGACAGCAGGGGTGGTGCTCCCAGCAGACGCCGTCAACCTCCTGCACCACACAACAAGAGCAGTCTTCCTGGACGCGTGGCCGCACACAGGTCCTGCCGGAGTTCCAGCTCCAGCATGGGAAGTGAGCTTGATGAGGCAGACGATGAGGTGAAATGGTTCACAGACTTGGCTTTCAACAGCCTCTCCAGCCCTGAGGTAGATTACCTTGACATGTACAACTCCAGCCACCGTTCATCTACCAACATTTCTCAACCATCTACACAGGAGAGTCCCGCTGGGGTCAGCACAGCCTGGCCGGCCTATGCTGACTTCAGGGGTTCTGCTCCTAGGCTGGACAATGATGAACTCTCATTCCAGCAACCACCTGCATACTACTCAGACGGCCTAGATCCGTCAAGGCGCTACGAGATGGGCAGCTTTGAGTGTGTGGATGTTGCCGTGGAAAGAGAGGACTTCAGAAGGGTGAGAAGAGGAGTGCCGAAAAGACAGATCCAGCTGAAGAAAAAGAGTGACGCTGAAGGGAAGCAGGATGAGAGCAGTGAAAATAGTAGTCCTGGGTTACCAGTGATGGGGGAGAGCCCCTCTCTAGAGACTCCTTCCAGGGAGAAGCTCATGAGACAACACAGTACACCAGCAGCAATGCCAGAATGCTACGCCTCTGAACGGAACCTTGAGCAGCATCAACAAAATAAAAGAAAATCCAAACTCCAGAAATCTGCTTCTCTTGATGAAACATGCACTAAGACCAAGATGGCCACTTGTCTTATCAAGAGTGTGTTATCCAAGAAGATGCAGATTTTTGAAAAACAACCTGATGAGCAGGTAGGAGAAGAGGGGAGCCCGGCTTTTGAGGAAAACAGACAACCAACAGAGAGCACACAGGTACTCCTCAAAGAGTCCCCACTACCTGACCAACATGATCTTAGTTCCAGTCTTCAGTCAGATCACAGTCTTTTATCTGAGGGTGTCACTGAGAGAGAAAAGAAAATCACAAAGGATAATTTGAACCCAGCCAAAAGCTTTGGAGCAAGATCCAGTAATAGGCCAAGTTCATCCAGCAGCAGCCGAAGTGTTAACTTTTCATTGACCGAGAGTGAGGAGGTTGATTCTCAAAGCACAAATGCGGCCTCACTAAGATCTGAAAGGAGAGCAGAACTGAAAGTGCCATTTGATAGTAAACAGTCAAGAACTGGAGTACAACAAGCTGATGAGAGCGAGACATGGGACAGAGGGGAGGGTGGTGACTCAGCAAATGCCACCGCCAGGAACTCAGGAGCTCCTCCTGCCACAGGAGCCAGCAGCATGCAGGCCAGGGGGACAAGCAGAGACCCAGAACGTAAAAACACGGAGGACTATAAACAACTGGAACAGGATGCCAGGGGCGCTTACACGTCACAAACACAGGACATTACTGTCAGAGCTGTGGAGAAAAAGAAAGCCTCCTTAAATGTCTGTCTCACACCTGAGGCAGAGAACAAACCTTGGGCGTCTTTGCCAGATATGAAGGAGGATCAGCTAGAGACTAGGATAGATGAGGAAGAAGAAGGCAACGGGAATAATAAAGTTAAGGTCCCCATTCACAAAGTTAGAGATGTAAGGCGCCTTGTAAAAAATACATATAATCTGTCATTCAAAGCAACTAGTGCTGTAATGCCATCCCATGTGGACAAAGAAAGACTGGACACTTCTAATGAGGATAAGAGAAAAGAAATTAAGGAGAAAAAGAGGGAAGAGGGTACAACTCAGGAAGAGCGGGAGGTAAGGCACGAGATAATACGGAAGGAGAGGGAGGAGGGGGTCAGCGGGGAGAGGAAAGAGGAACAGAAGGAGGAGTTAAAAGAATCAAAGCTACAAACCTCTCTACCTCTTCAGAGCAAAGGAAGTTCTATGTCTCGTCCACAGCCGATGCAAATACAATACAAGGCTGTTTGTTCGTCAAGCAGCAAGAAAGACCTTGGTGATAAATGCGAGGCTGCTCAGAAGCTCATCACACAGGTAAGCAGAGAATCACACAAGGCACTGAGTTACACAACCGGAGACACAGCAGTTTCAAAGTCATTTAACCATGCTGTAGAAGAGGATGTGACTGAAGTGCATAAAGAGTCACACAATGAGGAGAAACCTGTGGGGCTTAAGACCGAGATAAAACCTCCAATGCTCGGCAGCCTCCCTAGATTGCCTAGTAAGGAAAGAGAGGTGTCCACTGCAGTAGTTTTAATAAGAGATGGATCAAGTAAGACCAAGAAATCCGGATCTTCAATCCATGAAGGGATTCCCAACCTGCTCCAAACTCGAGCTGATTTACACTCATCCGCACCCTCTACCCCCAGCGGTGGCCACTCAGTTTCAATGCTATTAAAGGGGAAAGGCTACCAAGCTGACATTGGAGCAGTAGTGGGCGACATGACTGAAACTGAGGTTACAGGGATTAAACATGTGAACTGCCTAGAGATCCCCCTTCAGACCGCAAGTCCTTCACATGGAGGTGAACCTGAGTCTCGTAGAAAGAGGACATTCTCCTCCTCATCCACCACGTCTTGTCCCTCGGCTGCATCCGAGAACACACACACCCTTCCAAAGGCCAGAGAAGACGAGGGCATTAGAAGTCAGCCTACAATAAAAGAGACTGAAAAGGAAAAAAGTCCTTCTCAGCTAAGAAACGCGCAGGAGCAGACACCACCTCCTGCTAAACACCAGGAACTTGGAGATTTTGAAGATGTGAAAAGACTAGATCCAACTTTCCCCCCAAGGTCCCCTGCAGCAAGGAAATTCAAACCACAGGCAATTGAGGTTAAGTCGCTGTCTAAAGAAACACAGAAACAACAGACGCCCACAGACGTTACAGGAAACAGCAGGCCTCAAACTATTGAGGTTAAATCTATAGCTAAAACTTCTCAAAAGCCAGCGGTACCTCCCAAACCAAGCTGCAAATTTAAACCAGCCGATTTAGGGGCAATGCCAAGTGAAGCGCAGAGACCTTCAGCAACAACTGTAAAGCCACAAAGTGATGGGAGGTCTCAAACTATTGTTGTGTCCTCACCGACAATCTATAGAAAGCTCTCCAATGAGTCCACATCGACGTCAAGCTATACAAGAAAAGTGGCTGTGTCTGCAGTATCCAGCCTCAAACCGCCGTCTTGCAAAGCAGCAGCAACCACCATCTCTAATCTCTCAAACCAGTCAACAGCATCAGAGGCCGAGGCATCTAATGACAGAGGTCAGCAGCAAAAGCCAGGGGTCATGCCTCAGACTCCTAGATATACACAGAGACCCACAACCTTACCTACAGCTCCAATATCAGCCACTCGGCCAGCTTTCACCTCAGCTCCGGGTCCAGTCTTTGACCCCAAACCAAACCATGTCCCTGGACCTGAATCAGCTGGATCCAACAAGCCAAGCCAGGCAGCTGTTATGTATCCAGACAGCCAACACCAGTATTCCAGGTCAGCATACCCTCACGAACAAGATATGGCGGTAACTTCAAACAATACAAAACAACTTGCAGGTGTTTCCAAAACACAAGTGCCAGGATACACACACCAGCCATGCCGGGGATCCCTCTCAAGTGAGCTCTCCCAAAGGACAGATGACCTGCTTTTTTATGCCTCAGACGACCCTCCGAGCTACGACGAAAGAGAGAGCTTCAGTCCCCTCATCCTCCCAGATCTGACCTCCAGGAGGGGGCACTATCAACCCTCATCCCGCCCTCCTCCTTGCTCGTGCACAGCTGGCTGCCCTTCCCACCCTGGTGTCACCCCTCCTCACCATCACCGCACCCCCCATAACCTTACCCCTCCCGCCCCTACACACTCTCCAGGTCAGGCTCTGCCTTACCCGGGCGCTCAACCCCCTCTCCGTCTCCACCAGTGCAGACCTGACGCTCAGCCAATAAGCTACCAGCCCAGCTCTCCAAAATCAAGCCCTCTTGGTCCAGGTCAGCCACCGGGCATGTACCAGCCTCTTCACCAGCCTCCTCCCTGCCCTCCCCACCCCTCAATCTTGCAGCCCTGCCCTGCCCCGCTGCAGCCCTCCCAGCATATTGACCCTCGACGACCACCTGTCCACAGATCCCCCCAGCAACAGCCGCCACCAATTGCTGGTGCTCCTTACAGCGATACAGGCCACAGCAACTCTCCAGGCCTGCCTCCTATGGATCCCCAGTACCTGTGTGGCCCTCAAAGTCTTGGGCCCTCCTATGGCTCTGAATATGGGGGAGACAGCTCAAGTTTGTACTCAGAGAGCAGCTATGGACAGACACCTCGCAGAGTGCTACTAGATCCTGAAACAGGGAAGTATTTTTACATAGAGGTGCCTGTGCAGCCACTGAGAAAAATGTTATTTGACCCAGAGACAGGCCAATACGTGGAGGTGCTGATCCCGCAGCAGTCAATGTCACATTTGGGCATGTACCCCCCCGCAGCAGCCCCTTACACATCTCTCCACAACCCCAACATGTATGCTCCTGCTCCACAGTACATGCCCTATGCAGCTCCTCCTCCCCAAGCCCACCCCCAGACCCAGCCTCAGCCACCCCGATATCCTGAGGCCTCTGCCGCTGCAACAATGCACGCAGGTGGGCCTGGGGTCAGCTACAGGAATCCCTCTGGTCAGTCAAAGGCAGAGGCCCAGAATCACCCACCGCTCGACCAGAGCTACCTGGAGAACATGTATTATGTCCCTACAGGGATGAATGCGAGCCCCAATCCCACCCCACCAGACTATTACCACAAACATCCCCCCAACCTCCCCCCAACAGTGGGAAAAAGGTCCTGAAATAGAGGACAGAGGCCGCCTTCCTGGAGCCTGTTGGGTTTTAAATACACAGTGTATAAAGGAGGTGTCTAATGTTAGCCTGTAACGTTATTTGAGTTTTCACTAAAGATTTGCTATCTTCAGTTGTTTATTTGCTGCTGCTTCATCTGTGCTAGGCTGCACAATGTACGATTCTGGAATTAATAGTTTTGAAAATACAAGAGAGAAAGATATTTTTTATGAGGTGTTTTTAAATTTCAAAAATGGTCTCATACAATTCCGGTAATTCTAAAGCACTACAAATAAATAGGTTTTGCTGAGGTGCAATGAATGTCTCCCAAAAAATTGTATTAATTTTGTTATTGTGTTTTAGATTAATGAGTTTGTGCACAGGATGTCTGCAACTGGCAACTCTGCAACTGGCAATAAAACATGTTACATATTAATTGCTCTGCTTTCTTATACCTTCATCTCTACTTCTGTGGTTCGCTCTGCCTTTATTTGCCAGACAGATCATCTAATTAGGCCTACGGGGTCGAATACTAAAACTGTCATGCTAATATAGTGTTTTTAAACAATCAAATGCAATTTTATTTGAATGAGTAACCGCATTAGTAATGTAATCAAATGGTAAAGCAGTAAGAGAACTGGCTACTGGCTGTGCACAGGAAACTGGTGCTACACTACACCAAATGTACACTACTGTATATACCATGTAAATGAGGCTATATTATAACATGTATTAGTTTTGCGCCTTAAACATTTTGATTTCTAGTTACACCAAACGATACAAACGATACTTTCATTCAAGTATCTTACACACTTGAAGGTCCCTTCAAGTGTGTAAGGGGAAGTTGATGCTAGATATTTCTACTATTTTGCATTAAATGTTGATATCACCAGCTTTACAAAGAACCAATTTATTTTTGGTCAACTTATTTACATTTTTTCTCTTTGCCATGAGAGAGCACTGTCACTATTACAACAGAACAAACAATTGATTAATGAAAACAATTTATCAATCGATGGTTGGATAGTGAATTGCATGAGCTAGGTCACATGCCATGAAAGTTATTGAAAATAAACATGAAACTTCCCGAGGCTTTTGTAAGACAGAGAAAGAGTAAATATTAAAAGAGATGCACGCTACTGTGCATTTGCATCAGCACGTTGTATTGACCACTGGAGGGGGCCACAGACCACCAGAGCAGCACAGGAAGTCCCATTATAAAAGTATGTCTAAATCTGCTACTCTGTCGTGAGAAGAGCCAGTCACTCTAAAAATGTTAACTGATAACTGAAACCAGGGCACAGTTTGTTGGTCCAGAAGGACAAAATTGCACTCCCCTGTCTTTGATGTGGATGGTAATAAAATGAGTGTGTGGTCTGACTAGTAGCTGAAAGGGGCTTGAGTGCACAGTTGCGTGTGTGCGTGTCTGACTGAACACAATCCTCTTTCATCTGACAGAAGGAACTCAACGGGCCCACAGGAACACATCTGGAGGGGCTGTAACACTCACAGCACCTGGCAAATTGTGTGGTTTATATATGTGTGTATCCGCAGCTATGAATTGGACCCCCAACTGAATCAGAAGAGAGATGCTGTGGATTAGAAAGAGAATTACTTAGTTCCCAAAACAGCCAATGTGTTACTAGGGAGGAAACTGAAACTTACAATCATAAAAGTGAGAAGAAAGGCGGCCCCCTTTGGTTATCAGCAAAAATTCATCACGGCACAGCAACAGCAAATGACAACAAAACAGAGGTTAAAAAAAGAACGCTGATAGTGTGACAATCCACCTCCCTACAACTTCCTCACGGTTCATGGAATGTAATATTTAGTCAAGTTTATTGTATATTGTCGCAACCTGGATAACAATCTGGATAACAACGAGAGACACACCTTAGGAACATAGTCTAATCTATAAACACACTGGCACACCTAATACAAAATTACTTCCAGACAGACACACACAGTTCCGTGGGCCTGTTCCAAGAGGCGGCTTTGTGCTGTCCATCTTTTGTTGAGCAATAACTCACTCAAATCTGATGTAAAAAGATCTGTTCCGCAACTTTTTAAAGATAATCCAAACCAGCACTAAATGGATTAAATAACAATAATAATGCTGCCACGGATCATCATTATCCATCAACGTTTTCCAGACGTATCCTCCCCATCATGTGTGATTATGGTCAATTCCAATCACACATACACATTAAACAGACGCCGTTACATCATTTTAACTCTTTGCAGTGTGTTATTGTTATGGTTCTCTGACTACTGTGCCACTCCACAAATTGAGGACGCAGGCTGTAGGAGTCCCGTTATCCATGCCGCACCCAGTGAGTGAGTAGGAGCAGCGTTTGATGTGGACCCACTGGGGGGCTGGTTGGTCAATGGAAAAGTCCTCTCTTCATTGTCTTTATAGTATCAGGAATGTAGAAAAGCGTGGGTGTTATGGGCCAGGCTGCTAGATAACGCTTCTGATAAACAAGTTGTTCGGAAAAAAATGTGCAATGTGCTTCCTGACATTTTCCAGCAAGTGTCCTCTGCTTTTTTGGCCAGAGATTAAAAGTCAATCGTTTATAGAAGTGAAAATTCTGCCTTTAAGCAACTGTGTCACTGACATGGAGAGAAATAAAGGAGCCCTATGTCAGTCACTCAGTATGTCCATAACTAAGTGTTTGTGGTCTATTAATTAAACTGAGGAAACCAGATCATAAGGTGAAGGTCTGGCCTGGCCCCGTTGACATCACCAACCCCCGTATGGCTGTCCTTTATTTATTGTGAACATGAGAAGTCCATTTTAAGCCAAGGAAGGTCAGACAAATTTTAAAAAACCACTTGATTTGAAAAGCTTATCCTGGCTTGTGGCAATGTTTGCTTGTGTCACAGGTTGTTGTGAGAGCAATATCCCCCTTTCAACACTTCAAATTGCTTCAATGGAACGATTGTAACGACCAAAATATATACAAATTGCATTTGTATTATGTATTACTTTATGTCTCTAAGCAGAATGCATGCAGCTCTAGATTGAGGAACTGTATTGCCTGTTATTGGCTACGTCCAGGCACACTTTATTGATAATGACGGACCATACATTTGGAGAGGACACAAAATCTCAAAATTCCCTTCACCTGCACACTCCGATTAATGCCCATATAAGGCTTCTTATTACTATCCAGGACGGAAGTGGGCGGGGTTAAGAGGGCGGCGTGTGCGTGCGTGAGCGTGTGCTGATTGTGACAGCCGGTGAGTGAAGCAAGAGGAGCGGAGATAAGAGAAAGGAGGGCCACCTGAGACACCGGTGCCTTCGCCTTGTTGCCTAGCAACCACAGAGCATAATACCCGGCGCGTGTGTCATACAGACGTCCCTCTCTCACCTCTTGGTGGGGTGTCCACCTGGCCACGTCTTGTCATCTCCTGGTTGCACACACTATGGTAGTAATATCCTCATCGGCCAGACAATATCTTAACATGACTCACCTGTGAAGTAAGAAGAACATTTGGTCCTAATTGAAGAAAAAAGGAGGGGGGGTACAAGTAGTAGTCAGGTGAAGACTGTCCATTTTACTTTTATTGGGCGTTGACTGGTTGTACTGGGGCACAGTGGCTGGTTTTATGAAGCTTTGGGGACAAACAGTTACAGACGTTGAACCTCGAGCAGATTATGGAGGAAAGGTGACAACAACACACTAACTCTGCTGAACGTATACAACCACACAGTTGCCTAACGTAGTTGTGTGTGCGCACTAGGCAGTGTGTAAGAACTTCTGACTTTCTCTTTTGCTGTAATATCTCTGTTAGTGGACGCGGCAGCTCAGGAGTTTATGTTGTTCACGTGTCCGCAGTGTCTGCCTTTAGGACGTTTTATTCTGCTGTTGATTCTAAAATAAGTTTCCGTTCAGGTTACAACACTATTTTGCAGCTGCATATTTATAATGGATAATCAGTTGTATGCACAGTGGCCAGTGTGAAAATTGTTGCTGATGTGGTTCCACTTGAGTCAACATTCAACAAAGTCTATTTTCTAACCAACTCTTTAATATAACACTAGTATCATATACCTCATCCATATAACCGCTGTGCTTTGAATGCATTTCAGAATGGAATCCATTACTTCTAATGTAAACTAGATATTAGTTATTTCCTTTTCCTTTTATTACCTTTTTTTAAATAGATGATAGATTCATAGTGGAATTAATTGGTCTAGACTAGTCTAGTCCTTTTGGTGCCCCTGGACCCCTCACGTCTAGGAAGGAAATTGTTACTTGTATTCGGCCTATGAGTCCTTGTCTCCAAGACTGGGGGCACACTCACACACATGCACACAACACACACATGCGCACATTCAATGTAGATGATGTAACCCAAAAAATGATGTCATAGCCTGATCACTTTCCCCCGTTGTCGCCGTACTCCTCTCCCCCCGTGACCTGGATGGCAGATAAATGAGGAATGGAAGGAATGAGAAGACTGAGACTGAGTGTGTAAAAGAGAGAGAGCTGAACTACTGACAGGAAAAACGTGTTTGAATCACTTCCTGTATCCCTCCGAGCCAATGACAGGTCTAAATTCTTTAACCTTGCCATGTCACCTATTCGCTACACCGGTTCTTGGAAGCTCTTAATATTGAGGCGATGTTATGTTATATTGGACTCAGTCAACTGCAAAGAGGTTTGGAAGATATTAACTTCTGGCAGATATTAACGTGAGAGAATCTCCTGGGGATCGGCCGTTTGCTCTCCTTCAGTTCAGGTCCGTCATGGGCTGGTGTGTCGGTCACTGGATTCCTGGAACGTGCTGTAAAAGCAGTGAGTCATGCAAGGGGTGGCCCCGGACTCAACGACATTTAATAATTTAACTATTATACATCAGAGCCCAAACCCATTGCAGTAAAGTATCAGTCTCACAGGTCTCAGAGGAAACTAACGTGTTTCCCCATCTCTCACTCAGGAATCTCCATGGAGAGGCATTAATATTCTGCAGCACAACAATGTGCATTGCTGCACAAGTCTACAACAACGAGGCAAACAGTTAGCAGAGAGGTAGATGCTAGCATGGATAAAATGGTACAAAGGAAAAGAGGTGTATTAAGTTTAATATTCATTGACTAACTAGGTCAAAGATGGCAAATTACACTTCTCCAGCAATCCCATTTTGTGAAACATCTCAGTTGAGAAGATAAAGCACAGGGAAGCACAGAAGAGGTTGTGAACTAATTTATGTGTTTTGTGGAGGGCGTTTTCCATCCCTAAGCTAGAGTAATGTTTTTCAGGCTGTATCAAAACATTAAATTGCAACTATTTAACCAAAGCGACTTAGTATACCACAATTTGTTCTTATTTGTTTTCTTAGTGGAGGGAGTTTTCCATCCCTAAGCTGGAGTAATGTTTTTCAGGCTGTATCAAAACATTACATTGCAGTTATTTAACCAAAGCGACT